GCTGGTGCTCTTGGATCTCTCAGCGGCTTTTCACACTATAGATCATGCTATCCTCTTGGATCACCTGAGAGAGTTAGGAATTTGAGGCACTGCTTTGCAGTGGTTCCGTTCCTTCCTCTTGGGCAGATCCCAGAGGGTGAGGCTCGGGGACAGTTGCTCATCTAAAATTGAGCTCAATTGTGGCGTCCCTCAGGGTGCCATCCTGTCCCTGATGTTATTCAACATCTACATGAAGCCGCTGGGTGAGATCATTCGGAGGCATGGAGCGTGATGTCTTCAGTACGCTGATGACACCCAGATATATCTCTCCATGACTAGATCATCGTCTCAGACTTCAGATGGTGTCTCTCCTCTTAATGACTGTCTCAGAGCAGTAATGGATTGGATGAGGAAAAACAGATTGAAGTTGAATCCAGACAAAATGGAGGTACTCACAGTTACAGGCCCGAAACTAGATCTGGGAAAACAGTCTCCAGTCCTGGATGAAGTCACACTCTCCTCTAAGGACTGTGTTCGCAGTTTGGGGGTTCTCCTTGACTCCTCACTTCACATGACTAGTCAGGTGAATGTGGCAGTCAGGAGTGCCTGTTATCAGCTTTGGCTGATACACCAACTGCGCCCTTATCTGGATGTGAGGGATCTGGAAGCTGTGGTACATGCCCTGGTAACCTCACATCTGGATTACTGCAATGCACTCTACATGGGGCTACCCTTGTGCCTAACCCGGAAACTGCAACTGATGCAAAACATGGCAGCCAGGTTAATTATTGGAACATTAAGGAGGGAGCACATAACACCAGTGCTCAAATCCCTCCACTGGCTGCCAATTAGTTTCCGGGCACAGTACAAGGTGTTGGTTTTAACCTTTAAAGCCCTACATGGCTTGGGTCCATCTTATCTCAGGGACCGCCTCTTCCCGTACGATCCCCCCCACACCCTTCAGTCCTGTGGGAGGAATCTGCTACAGGCAATAAAAACCAGGCTGTCTCAGACCTCCCAGAGGGCCTTTTCTGCAACCGCTCCCAGACTTTGGAATGGCCTGCCGGACGAGATCCGTCTTATTACTACTCTTGCTGTTTTTAAAAAGGCAATGAAGATGGATCTTTTCCAGCAGGCCTTCCCAGAATAATAGCTGTCCTTAGGGAGATGAGTTTTCATCTTGTTTTTATATCACTGATTCCTGTTTTATTGTTTTATCATTTTTTGTTTTGCGGTATTTTTAGCTTTTCTCAGTTTAATTCTGTTTTAAGGGGATGGGAGGGCTGGATTGT